TTTTTTCTTTTTGCTTATGTGGTGCTGAGGAATCGAACCCAGGGCCTCATGCATGCAAGGCAAGCGCTCTACCACTGAGCCACCTTCCCAGCCCGCTCTTAATAATTTTTAAGTACTTTAACAAGATAATAATTTTTTAAACTTTTTTTTTTTTGGTCAGTCATGGGGCTTGAACTCTGGGCCTGGGCACTGTCTCTCAGTTCTTCAGCTCAAAGCGAGCGCTCTAGCACTTGAGCCACAGCACCACTTTTTCTTGCCAAGGCTGACTTTGAACCGCAATCCTCAGGTCTCAGCCTCCTGAGTAGCTAGGATTACAGGCATGAGCCACTGGTACCCAGCTAAACTTTGTTTTAACGTACTTTTACTTAAAGAACATTGGTCATTCCTGGTATAGATTATGGCAATATTTTCCTATATCACAAACTGAGTGTAAGTTGTTCTTAGCTATTCTCTGCCAACCGTCTGACTTCTCACACAAAGGTACTCATATCTTGTAAAAAACAAAAATACTCTCATAGGTAACATGTTATCCTGAGTGTAGATAAGAGGGAGGAAGTGTAATAAAGTTCAAAGAGATAAAGCATCTTGTTGGGCTCCTCAAATGTATGCATACAGCTTAGCTTTGGAAAAGCATTTAAAATACTTTTAATTTAGTCTGTCTATATAGAATACAATGGCCTTTCTAGTACTACATGCTAATTCTTACATCTACTCCATATCATCTTAAAAAACTTGAAAACCCAACATTACTATGTATGGGTCAATAAATCACTGAAACAGGTTACAAAGCATAATGGCAATTTTTTTCTTTTTTTTTTTCTTCTTTTTTTTGGGGGGGTCCGGTCGTGGGGCCTGAACTCTGAGCCTGGGTGCTGTCCCTCAGCTCTTCAGCTCAAGGCTAGCACTCTACCACTTGAGCCACAATGCCACTTCCAGCTTTTATTCTTTTTGCTTATGTGGTGCTGAGGAATCGAACCCAGGGCCTCAGGCATGCAAGGCAAGCGCTCTACCACTGAGCCACCTTCCTAGCCCTGGCAATTCTTTTCAAGTTGAGAAAATTTGCTGTTTCAATTTTTTTTTTTGGTGGGGGGCGGGCGCGTTGGTCAAGGGGCTTGAACTCAGGGCCTGGGCACTGTCCCTGAGCCTCTTTATACTCAAGGTTAGTGCTCTCTACCACTTGAGTGCAGTGCTGCTTCTGGCTTTCTCTGAGTATTTTACTAGAAATACCAGTTAACTCATGGACTTTTCCTGCCTGGGCTGGCTTCAAACTGTGATCCTCAGATCTCAGCCTCCTGAGTAGCTAGGATTACAGGTGTGAACCACCACCAGCACCTGGTTGCTGTTTCAATCTTTAAATAAACATAGTATAGTTTTAGCAGTAGTGGATAAATTTTAATATTAACTTTCATGGCATTATGAACACTTAGAAATCCAAAAATTCTCACAGCCAGTCATTATACACAAATCACAAAGCAGCCTTTTAAAAAATATTTTCAAGACACTTCAAGCCATAGTCTGATTTCATATGATCAGCACTGACATCTTTATATTTTCCATACTTAAAAATGTAAGGGTTAGAACACATTTTAAAATGGAGAATTTCAAAGCGAAAGTAGTTTTGTAAAATGCAAATCATTGTTATAAACCAAAAGTATGGCTTGGTTAAAGGCAATTTGTCAATTTTCCATTAAGTGCCAGGCAAAATAAAATCATTCCACTCTTCCAACCCCTTGAAACAAACACACAGCAAGGAAAATTGTAAACGCCTATTTCTAAAGCTAGTATCTTGCCTGCAAAACTGGGAGGACTATGGGAACTGATGGCTGAAAGAGCTTTGGAAAAGCCCACACACTCCATGGAGAACACCACTACCTGGTGGGGGCTAGGCATAGCGCATGGCCTTCCTGCCAAAGAAAGGAGAGAGAATCTGTATTTGGCACAGGACAAAAAGCAATGATACAGCGTAGTTCAAAGAAATAAAAAGTATGATAGCAAAATATTGTAAAAAAATTAAAACTGATTTTTTAAATCATTGATACTGGAATACCTTACAGATTAAAAACCACACCAGAAACTTTTAATACTTCATTTTCACCAGAAAACCATTTATTTAAAAAAAAACTCCGGGACAAGAGCTTTCTATGACTAAATTAAAATTAATTAGATATGATAAAGTTACCACTCACATGAATAAAAGGAAGAAAAAAAAAAGATTGAAAACTGACCAGGTAAAGCTTTTGTGTGAGTCTGTTCTTTGCTGGACACACGGGCCCCGCCACCAAATACTGCAGACCACATTTTTTCATTTAGAGGATGGGCCACAATCCGAAAGAGTTCATTGCTGGAATGTGTGGCCAGGCCATGGATGAAGAGACTAAGGTAGACTGCCGTGAGGATTTCACAGAGCAAGATCGTAAGGCCTGACTGGGCTTCCTCACCAGAAGAGGTCAAAAGGCGAATTAGACAAGTTATTCCTAAAATAAACAACAAACACAGAAGCTATTGACTATACATTTTGTTTGGGGGGGGAGGACTAGGGATGTAAACTCAGGGCCTTGGGCTTACAAGGCTCTACACTAGAGCCACACCACTGACCTTTTTTTTTTTTTTTTAATGGTTATTTTCATCATAAGATCTCCCAAACTGACTGACTGGGCTATTCTTGAACCATGATTCTGTTCTTAAGTTTCCCAAATAGCTGTAATTTTAAAGGTAAGCCAACAGTACTTGGCACAAATACATTTTTGTCTGTCTCTCTGTCTGGATTAGGTTATATTAGTTAAACAGAAGGGAATTTCATTTTTACATTTCCATGTTTACAGTATATTCCAATCAATCAATCTTACCCCCTCTATCATTTTACTTGCTAATTTTTGAAATTTTCTTAGTTTTTGAGAAAAAAGACTATACTATATCCATTAGGATTAAGTCTTTTCTTCTCAAGTGTCATAACTAGTAGTACATACTAGAGTTAATGAGTAAATGTTGAGCTACTTGTTCAACTAGGTAAACACTGAAAATTTGCAGTTTGTCTCAAATCTCATATGTAAACTTTTTCTTTTGGTAGCACTGGGATTTGAACTCAGGGCTTTATGCTTCCTCTTACTGCTGGATCCTAGCCTTCTGCTCTTTTATAGGCCAGAGCAAATAGGCCCTGCCTAGGAGCCTGTCAAAGCACAACCCACTTTAAGTTAGGCTTTCTGTCATAGACAGGATAATTATGTGCCACAGTGCCCACCTCTCCACTGAGAAAGGGCCTCCAAATTTTTCTGTGTTCGTGTCAAAAACCGCAATCCTCCCACTTCAAATAACACAAACTTTTGATGCATGCTTTAAAATTTTTAAATGATGTGACAAAACACTTTGATATAATCAATATAGTTTTAGATAATCAAGGAAATAATACAGAATTAAGTAATTACAGAATTTGTCATTATAGACGAATACAGAATTGGTATCAATTCTAGCAATATTAAGTGATTACTATATACTAAGCAATAATTTAAAAAATCAAGCTTTTTGCTTAATATTTTCAATAAACACTAAAGAAATTAATATCAAAGAATATTAAGAAAACCTCATATACATTACTTATACCTGGCCATTGAGCTGGTGCTGTGTTGGGAGTGACTGCTTCTTCTAAGCTTCCTGTTCTCAAAGAATGTCGATGGGGAAGCAGTACTGTTTGATAGACCATTCCAGTAAACTGATTTGTCTGAAATGAACTAAGAGAAGAATGCAATATGTAAATCTACCATGAATTTCACATGAATATTTCTAAATTTGAGAACTAATTTCTAGGGTAATTTAAATACTAATATTTACTTATTATTATATTTAGGTTGTATATTCTGTAATTTGGCGCTATTTAAAATAAACTATCCTATAAAGTATAAATACATACATCTTTTTAAACCAAAACACACTTAAAAGACTTTAGGAATATTCATTAGTAGTGATCACATAGGACAGGTACAAATGGAATAAAAACGACATCACTATGAACAAGTAGCAAACTCATATATAGGACCTGAGTGGGGGATTGGAGGGGGGAGGGGAGAGGGTGTTTGATGGTTCATGAACTCAGGGCCTAGGCACTGTCCTTGAGCCTTTTTGCTCAAGACTAGTGCCCTATCACTTGAGCCACAGCTCAGCTTCCAGCTTCTGGGTAGTTACTTAGAAATGGACTTTTCCTTTCTGGGCTGGCTTTAAACTAAGATCCTCAGACCTTTGCTTCCTGAGTAGATAGGATTACAGGTGTGAGCCACCAACACTTGGATTTACTCATAGGACTTTAAAACAGCCTATCTGATGGGGGTGGGAGGTAAGCACATTCAGTTTCAATTCCATATTTAATGGCACTGAACAAGGTGCCAAGCACATATGCTCCTGTAAGAGAATCTGGCAGGTTGTTCTGAAGATGAAACTATGCCTATGGCATGGCTAAAGTTACCTGTTTGAGTTCAGGATAAGTCTCACCAAGCAAAGGATACAGTGAAGCATGATCTCATTGGAGGTACTACACCATAGGAAGTTGGGAAAGGAACCCCAACACTGTATCTCTTGTGGAGAGGACTATTTAGACCTCATCTATAAGGCCCCAAACCTAGTTTACCTATTAAGCCTAAACAGAAAGCAAGACATTGCAGAAGAATAAATCAATGTCAGGAAAACAAAGCTAGGATTTTTGTTTGAATGAAACAAAGAGATAAAGAAAAATAAGATGGACTTACAAGTTCCAGTGTCTGGACAGAAAACTTCAAAGAATTAAAGATAGATACAATGTAGACAGAATGACAGCTATTAGTTGAGAAGGGGGTCTCCTGAAGTTATTTTCCTGGGATTGCCTTAACCCAGGACCTTCCTGATTCACATTTTTTTTTGGGGGGGGGGAGGCCGGTCATGGGGCTTGAACTCTGGGCCTGGGCGCTGTCCTTCAGTTCTTCAGCTCAAGGTTAGCACTCTACTGGTTGAGCCACAGCGCCACTTCCAGCTTTTTTTTTCTGCTTATGTGGTGCTGAGGAATTGAACCCAGTGCCTCATGCATGCAAGGCAAGCGCTCTACCACTGAGCCACCTTCCCAGCCCCTGATTCACGTTTTTAAGTATAACCTTTCTCTTCTTATTAGCAAGGGGCTGAGGCGGGGAGGGGTAAAGGGGGGAGGTCAGAGGAAGAGGAGTGGATGAATGAAGACGGAAGGAGAGGAGAACACTTTTAGATAAGAATCATTGTACATGGCACAAAATTAAGAAAAGTAAGGGGAGTGAAAATGCTGAAAGGGTGACGCTGATCTTGAGGCACTGCATTCATAACGTGCTGTATTAAATGGTTCTTCCTTTGTACAACTACTTAAGATAATAAGAACATTGAAAAAGATAGCTATAACAGACTTCACAGAATATCAAACAGTATTTTTAAAGCCTATATTATGGTGAAACTTTACAAAATAAAGAGAATACCCTAAAAATTATACTGTCTGTGAAATTCCTCTCAATTCCAAACCAATCACTTCCTATCCTGTGCTCCTTAGGTTCCTAACTACCAAATTACAGTGCTCAGTTTAAATGCTATGCCTTGTTGTCATATATCAGTTCCTATTACTTTTCTCTAACCAAACTGGTCTTAAGGAAGGAGTTCTTACCCTATTCATTCTAAAATTATCAGCATCTCTCACAATGTCCAGCAAAAGCCAGTGATCAATAATAGGATGCTAAGTAAGTTATACTGACAAGGTTTACTTGAGATTTGTTTATTATGAAGTCATATGCTAAATTTCAAAGATTAAAAACAAGCACTCAATACCCCAGCCATATGTTTTTTGCATTATTGAAAGGACTGCTATATATAGTTCTAAATTAATAATGTATAAAATGATACCTCAGAGGTTACAGTAAACATTCTTACATTTCAAAAAGACATTTACCTGTAGTTATGACTACCACAAAGGCACTGGTAAATACAAGCAGAAAGTGAGGCTGCTAAAGTATGCATTACATATACCTGGAAAAAATAAAACAAAATTAAGTATAGGATTTTAAAGTATAATTTTTATTAAGACTAAATATAGCATGTTTTATGGTAGTCCTGGGGCTTGAATTCAGGGCCTGGGCACTGTCCCTGAGCTTCTTTTACTCAAGGCTAGTACTCTACCACTGAGCCACACCCTACTTCCAGCTTTTTCTGGTATGTGGTACTAAGGAATCAAATCCAGGGCTTTATGCATGCTAGGCAAGCTCTCTACCACTGAGCTACCTTCCCAGGCCCTAGTTGGCATTTTTTTTTAAGTAAAAAAAAAAAAAAATCTTTTGCTTACACTGATTTCCGCCTAAAGAGAAAATTTTTTTCAAAAAACCCACAAAAAATAAAAAAACAAAACTCAAGAGTCTTCTGGCAGAATTATAAAATACATAGGTGCTATGTATAATTATTTTTTCAAGAAGGGAATAAAGGGAAAATGTCAGCTCTCAGCTCTCCAGTAGAGAATGAGCCACATACTAAAAGCATGTCCTTTAACACTAAAGCTGCTCTTTCCTTAAAACAAAATATGGAAGCACACACTAATAATTGCCAGTTCACTTATAGACAATTCATAGAGGAAAATGCACCATGTATTCTAGCTACCATAAAAAACAATGGCAAGCCGGGCGCCGGTGGCTCACGCCTGTAATCCTAGCTACTCAGGAGGCTGAGATCTGAGGATCGCGGTTCAAAGCCAGCCCGGGCAGGAGAGACAGTGAAACTCCTATC